AAAAGTGCATTTTCAGCTTTTTTTTCGCATTCTTGTTGCTGCTATGAAATTTTTGCTCCACAGCTTCTCGATTCTTAATAATTGTAGAAAAAGTGCTAGTTTTTAATTTTTTGTGAAAAATTTTAAAAAGTATAAAGGCTTTTTAATCAGCAAACATACGTACGACTTTCTCTCTCACATTAGTTTCTTGTTGTACTAAATACCTCTAAAATTTTGAACTAAATATTTGTTGAGAAATTTTAAAAAATGTGCAGTAGAGTGCCGACTATCCAAACTGCTCGGGACCGAACATGGTTCGGATAATTGGAAGTTGTTTAAAATCTATTTAAAATGATTATAGCTTGCGCAATAACTTCCCTTCACACTTTTTCCAGGCTTAGGACTGGTAGTACTATCTAACATAGCTCTGGCCTGTTAAAAAGTTTATTATTTTTTTTAATATTTTTTTGTTAAAATTTTTTAAATCATAACAGCTCTTTAAGTCGTAAACATTCGGACAACTTTATCTCTAACATCGGTTTCTCTCTGCCCTGGATTAAAGGGAACTACAGTGTCAAAAGGCACATGAGATCCAGAGATGTTTCTCTCAATGACTATATTTTCATTCATGCACATATTGTGCAGCACAGCACAGGCATTGATTATCTTCGCTGCTGTTTCAGGGGAGTAATTCAATACTCACCGAACCACAAAAGGCACCGAAATCTGTTTTTCAGTTTACCATTGCATCGCTCAACAGTACCCTTGCCAGAAGCATGTTTTCTATTGTATTCCTCTTCAGGCGAAGATAAATTATCTCCACTGATGAGAGTTAACAGCCATGGCTCAAGTTGATATCCAGAATCCCCTATTCGAATAAATTATGGTATCAGAATGGAGTAATAAGTATCAATAATTGGAGTAATGTTTTTTCTAATAGAAAACTATTCATTGATCTTACATTAAAATAATATGCACACATATGTTAATAAATATAAATTAAAATCATTTATTATAAGAGCTATTACCCAAGAGCCATGTGTCTTTTAGTTTTGGTAGTTGCAGCCATCTTCGCAATTCGCTTGATTTCCAAATATAGGAGTCGTGCGTGCTGCCAGGAAATCTAGGTACGATATTTAAAAATTTTTGCTTCATATCAACAACCTGTAAATATTGAAATTGTATTTCATTAATCCATATTAATGATCATTATATTTAATAAGAACATGTATACATTACAAGTTGACAAATAAATACAAGCTAAAGATAGACTTGAATAGGAAATAATTAATAAAAAAATATGTTTTACCAGCTAAACATTTAGTGAATGGAAATTTTTTCGATTAACATAATTTTGTTCCCTGTGGGAATCGGTAGACGGAAAAAAAGGTCCAGGAAAAAAAAGGTACGGAAAAAGAGGTTCCGGTAAAAAAGGTCCCTGGAAAAAAAGGTACGGAAAAAAGGGTCCCTGGAAAAAAAGGTCCCGGAAAAAAAGGTCCCGGTAAAAAAGGTACCTCCATAGGGAAAATCTGTAGGGATATTTCCCCTCTCGCTTTCTGGGCAACATGAATGCTTCTCGCNCATTACAATTTTTAAAAAGCTCTTTATCGGAAGTAGATCCGGGATACATCTCACTAATGTAAGTAATAACACCATTTGGAGCTACTCCAATTAGAGCTTTCATTGTATGTCGATGTTTATAGGAGCTGTAAAACAGCCGCTGATGAGACATTTTTTTGGGTCTTTGAACACAAAAATCAGTGCAGTTCATAACCATCCTGCAATTCATAAAGCATGAGGGCAAACACAACTCATTTTTAACTTGTGTTGGTACAATTGCCATTAGACAATTGTACAGCACCTCATGTAGACAGTAAAGCCAAGTTAAAAAAACATTAGTTATAGTACCTTCACTTACTTGGAATCGAACACCAAGATCAGTGTGAGTGGGATTCAACTTTAATTTCATTAAAGTCACCAACAACTGATCTCTTCGATCCAAGCAAGTGACATTCCATTCTTCATAATACTTGTCTAACACCTTATCACAATTAGAAAATATAATATTGAAAATTTCCTTATTAGGTAAACCTGTATAATGCATGATATGATCATTATTACTTTCTATACTAAGAAACCCGAATGGCTGCTTCTTCAAAAATTCCTGCTCTGACAAAGCGTTTTTCAAACTTAAATTTTCCTCCTTCAGTTCGAGGTTCTCCTCTTTCAAATTGGCGATTTCTTGAAGGAGTGTCTGAATATCAGCAGCAGCAGCAAGAGACTGGGGCACAGTGGAGGTTAGTGGAACAGCAGAAACTAAAGGAGTTGCTGATATGTTTCTAAAATAAAAACACATAAATGTATTGTAATCATATTTCATTAAAAAAAAGCATGTCATAAATTCAGTAATATATAATAATAAAATAAATATATACTGCAAAGCATAATTTTAATTCAGGTAAAGATCAAATCAATTGTCAAGAAAGTTGAAGGTTATATGAACAAAGTAAAAGAAAAAAATATTTTGAAATAACAAAACTGGCCTAATGTTATTCCCTTATACTTAATGTAAGCCAATTTCTTATTCAAAACTACTTTGAACATAAGTGTCAATTGAGTTCTCCATCGAGTAGCGGAGTAGTTACTACAACTTCAAAGCAGTTAGTAGTCACTACATAAACTACTTTAGTAATGGTGTAATAGTAAATTAATGTAGTTTTTACACATACTTTGATCAGATATACCTTCAACGAAAGTCAGAATAAGAAAATATTTAATATTTTTTTTCATCATTGTATGAAATAATACAAGACATTTATGTAGATAATACTTTTAAACGCGGAAGACATATCAGATATACTGAGGAGGAGAAACATAATATATATATACCGTTTCGACAAAACTATTAGAATCCAATATTGAAATACCTTTTTTTTAAGCTGTTTCAGGAGATTGAAAATTAAAAATCTTATTCTTATTGTGCTCAAAAAGCGTTGGCCCATTTTCATTTAATCCATCTTTGAAATGGCATTGGCATATTACATGATTTTTTGAAACATGAATATCATCTCTCCTATAAAGCAAATTAAAATTCTTTACTAATATGCAATTAAAGAGGCAAAAAAATTTCGAAGTTATATTAAGTTGTAATTAAATCTTATATTCCTAATCCATATTTTTTGCACCTTTGGATTAGCAGGAATCCGAAAAAAGCGACAGGTGTCTCTCTGGTTAGAATGTTTGCAACCAGGGGCAATACACATAACCATTTTCAAACCTTTAAATAAATCATCAATAAATTACAAACATATGTTACATTCAACAAAAATTTAAAATCCATAATCATGAGTAATGTTTAACAAATTTACACAGATACATAATCATATAAATTAGATTTATTAGGCTTTAATAAAAATTCTACATATACGAAGAAGATTGCAATTTTGTTTTCTAATCAAAAAGTCTATGTTCTACTACATCATAAACATTTAAATTGTAAGACACATTTAATGGAATGGATAGGAAAATTCATATAATTAAAAATAACCTATGTAAATATACTGCAGGCAAAGTGTAGGAAAAAAAATTTGCTTTTTTTTCTATTTATTTTAATCAATAATGCTTGATTAAATTAATAAAGGCACCTTAACACAGTCAACAAAACGACCTCAATATAATTTATTTACACTACAAAAAATTTAAAAAAACAGAAAGAAACACATAATTAGCCTTAAAGAAAAATTAATGTTAAAAGTTGTAACAGTTTTCCACGCCATGTTTAACAAAAATGACAAATAAATATAATATATTTATGTATAAATATCAACCTGTCGAAATGTAAACAAAACTTAAATCACAAGGCTTAGCAATCAGTATGAAATAAAAGCGTTTCTATTAATATTAACTAATTTTTTCAAACTCACACCTTCCTAATTTAATAATATGAACTGTTTCTTACCAGAAAAATCCGTTTTCTACTGAAAGAAATCTATTTTTTTATTAAAATACTTAAAAAAACATAGAATCACGAAAAAGCCTATTTAAATAGCATTAAGCTGCGCACAAGCGAGGTTTGTTTAGATACGGTCAGAAGAGGGGGGCGTCACCACTATTCTCGTCTATTCCTGTTCAAACGTGACGTCATTCCCAGCTGGAATTTCATTCCATGGAGCTCATGGTAGGGTTCTTGGCCCGTTTTGCAACAGCGCCCTTAGGAAAATTTGCCATAGAGAATCCTATGGTAATCTATGGCAACCTATGGCTACCATAGAAATTNTTGAGAATTGTTTCCGCTCGTTCCCCTCTCGACAAAAGGTCAGTGGGGTCTCCACTGCCACTACAATGATGAAACTGATTGGGATCGCAAATGTTTTGAATCTCCGCTACGCGGTTGGCCACGAACGGCTTCCAAATATTCGGAGATTTTCTTATCCAGCATAACGTGATCAGAGTCACACCAAAAATGTATATTGTCACATAGTTTAGGGAGAATAAATTTTGCCAATTTGGCAGCTACAACAGCTCCCATTTATTCACATCTAGGAAGAGATAGTGATTTTAGAGGAGCGACTCTGCCTTTTGACATAATAAAGCTAGTTTTTGTTTCTCCAGTTTCATCTATATATCGAAAATAAGCTAAGGCTCCGAACGTTCTGGGGGAGGCATCGCAAAATGTGTGTGCAGTCAGTTGTGTATAATTGGTGCTGTGGTAGAATTTCCTAGGAAATTCAGGATTTTCCAAGTATTTAGTTTCAGAGCACTACTCCCATCCATCTTTTATTTAAGTCAGGGGGAAGGATTGTATCCCAGTTTAAACCTAACAGCTAGGAGTTTTGTAGTATGATTTTAACTCTAACAATGAAAGGTTGTAAGTAGCCAACACGATCAAATATTTTAGCAACAGATCTTAACACAGTTCTTTTTGTATTACCTTCACTACTTTCAATTGATTCCTTCAGAGAATCGAAATTTAATTTGATTAAATCATTTTTTGGATCGCATATCATGCCCAAAAATTTGGTTTATTCATCAAAATCACCAGACCCCTTATTTTTTGCCACTATCCATTTGTTGTTTAATTCCTCCGAATTTGTTTTCAATTTCCTTAAATTCATACCCGCATCTTCAAAAATATTTACTGCATCTACAGACAATCGGTAAGCATCCTCTACAGTTTTTCCTCCATGATAAAGAACGTCAACATAAAGGGACGATTTAAGCATTTCAAAACTTTCAGGTTTTTCCCTCTTATATTTTTTGACATGATATTTGATCGTAGCTGCTAAAATGAAGGGACTAATTGCGGTACCATATGGGGTCCTGCGCATGCGCAGAATACTGTGAGATTCATTATTATCCCCAAACCAAAGAAACCTTAAGTAATAATCTCTGTCCTCCTCAGCAATCCCAATTTTTAGAGATGCTTTTTCCAAATCTCCACAGAAGCTCACCTCTGGTTCGCGAAATTTTAAAATTACACCAAGAACTTTAGGGTTCAAATTTGGGCCAGTTTCGAGACATTCATTCAAAGATTTATAATTTTCTTGTTTCGATGAGCAATCAAAAACGATTCTGCTTAGTGACGTCTCAATTGTTTCGCGCAAAACTTTCCTGTGCGGCATAAAATACTGCGAAGCATTAATTTCACTTGAGCATTTTTCAACTATATCTTCCCGTAATAAGCAATATTAGTTACTAACTTATTACTTGAGCTAGTAACAAAAAAAAGGTTCAGCGAAATCTACACCAGAAATATCAAAGGAGGTTGTTCTTTAATTCTATCACGTGGTAACGGAGCTTCCACTTGAGTACCAGGTTTTACCTTATAACGTCTGCATATTAAACTGTTTCTCAAAACCCTTTTAACAAATTGTTTACCTTTGATTATCCAATATTGTTCCCTTAAGTGAGTTAAAGTAGAATCTACACCTAAATGACCCATTTTAACACGAGCATCTAACATGACTAATTCAACAAATTTATCATTAGAAGGAAGCAGTACAGGTTGTTTTGTTTTCACATCATCGCTTGAGAACTGCAAACGTCCCTTTAAAAATAAAATATTATCATAATTAAGTTTACTATTGAGATTGAAAATTCGTGAATGTTTACTCAAAGTATTTTGAGAGAGGAGTTGCTGGATTTCACTCTCGTAATGCAAGAGTTGAACAGTTTTAATCCAGGTATGCAAAACATTCTGAAGTTCAGAAGCACTAATAGGTCCTTTCAACTTTGAAGAATCTAGCTTGGCATTATAGGCAAACCTTTTTACCCAAGCTGTTACTCTCAAAAGTCTAGTAAGATTGCTATATTTGCTGACGTCAATACATTTTGTAAGAGAAATGTCAGAAGTCTTGTTTTGAGTCACATTGTTCACCGCAACAGCTCGTTGTTCCTTCTTTACCACATCACTATAATTGTCATCAGGCTGGCTGCCAAAATCTACTAAAGGCCACAAGTTGACCGGATGGGACAACCAAACTTGCGCAGACCACCACTGAGAACTCAACACGATTTTAACTGCAGATTCTCCTCTAGTGATGAAATCAGCAGGATTTTCCACACCGCTATAATGGTCCTCATTTCCAGCATGTCCTCATTTGGACTAAACCCTACATTCATTCCAACACTCTGGAAGCGTAAGTGTCTGCACTTCTGCCACTCGATTAGTCGCAAATGGCTTCCAAAGCTTTGAAGATCCTTTCACCCAATGGAGAACAATTTTAGAGTCACTCCAATAGTATATTTGTTGAGTGAAATTCGTAAAAACGTGTTGTAAATATTTCCCTAATCTAGCACCGGCGAGAGCTGCCATCAGTTCCAATCTGACCAAAGTCAAAATTTTTAATGAAGCAACCTTGCACTTAGAAATAATGAATTTAACTTTGATATGTCCTTCAATTGTTGTATAACGAAGGTACGCCACTGCTCCGTAAGTCTTGGGACTTGCGTCTACAAATATGTGAAGAGAAACATCACTAATATCCGTCGTTGAACATAGTTTTCGTTCTATTATAATATAATTGTCCAAATCAGTAATTTCAGAACACCATTTTTTCCATTTCTTTACTAAATAAGTCTTCGTCCCACTTAAGACTTCGCTCCCAAATTTCCTGCATAATTATTTTAGCTCTAACTACAAATTGACTAATGAATCCACATGGATCAAAAATTTTTGAAATTATTCTCAACACTTGTCTTTTGGTGCTTCCTGATTCCAAGGAATACCTTAAATCCTTTAAATCTAATTTAATTATATCCTCAATAGGATCCCTCTTTAATCCTAAGAAACCTGCTCCTTGCCCAAAATTAGTGTTTTGCTCCGTTTTTACGCCAAAGTTCATTTAGTTCCATACAATTAGTTTTTAATTTCCTTACATTAAATCCGGCGTCGCATTGCCGATGAAGATAATTGATACGCATCCTGAACAGTTTTAGCACCGTAATACAAATCATCTACGTATAGAGAATTCCAACATTTCATAACAATTGGGTTGATCTTCCTTAATTTTCCTAATATGAAATTTTAATACGCAAGCAAGAACAAATGATGACGTCGTTAATCCGAAAGATAGGCGATTAAATTGAAGTATTCTTTTTGAATTATATGTTTCATCCGAAAACCATAAAAATTTTAGATAATTTCTATCCTCTTCCGCAATTTCTATCATGTGATATGCTTTTTCCAAATCTCCGCAAAATGCGACTTGATTCTCTCGAAACTTAAGAATTATATCAAATAAATTTGGATAAAGATTAATTCCCGATTCAAGCGCATCATTCAAAGATTTATTTTATTTTCATTTATTTGCCTTACAACTACAATCGTAAACAATGCGAACGCGACTTGTTTCTTTGTCATTCCTAATCACTGCACGATGAGGCATAAAATATCCTGAGTTTAAATTTTCATTTACACTATTCCCAGCAATATTGCATTTCATTTGTTCCGAAACAATTTGTTTATACTGATCTAAAATCTCGGGATTTTTATTTAATTTATTCTCTAATGAATCAAAACGCCTTTTTGAAACTTCCTAATTAAAGTCCATTTCCAAAGGGGGTCCCAAATTATCCTTCCACATTAATTTGCATACATAATACATAACGCAAAGAATATAAATCGCAAAGAATCCTCGAATTTTTTTCTCAATAGATTATCCTTTTCAGAAAAACATATTTTTTTCGAAATATTTGCACGGAGAAAAAAAATTTGAAAATTTGTGGGAGGTTATAAAAATTGTTCTTATCCTCTCATGGTAACGCAACAGTCGAAGGGGGTTTTCAATCAATAAAAGATTATTGGTTTAAAACCTCAATGAAGACTCTATTATTTCACAAAGGCGTGTGCATGATTACGTTTCATTTATAAATGGAATAAAAAAACATAGACATTAATGAAAAAATGCTAGATGCTGTAAAAGGATCTAGAACATGATGGAGACATGCATTAGAAGCCAAAAAAAGAAAAGAAAAACAAAGAGAATAAAAAAGCTGAAATTTCTAGAAAATGAATAAAAGAAAAGATAAGATGATTTGAAATTAAGAAAATCTAAATTGACGAAAACTGCTGCAACAAGACTGGATGTTCTTGATTCAGAAATTGTCAAACAACAAAATATGTTGAGAAATATTATATAACGTAGGAGCCCTTGCGTCTCTCCGGAAGCTTACAGTATTACAGAAAAAAATTTAAAAATACTGAAAAAAAAAGATATTTTTAATTCTATTTAACTCACAAGTTGCATAATTTTTCTATCTGAATTTTTATTTGCATATAATTAACTTTTCTTGACTTTTTTCCCCTTTATATTTCAATATTATCTTTCAAAAGAAAAGTCAGTTTGAAGTGAATTGGTGATTTTTAAAAATTAATAACTTAATGTAACAAATGTTCTTGTATGTTTTAAGAGCAAATATTATTTGAGGATACTGATACATATCTCGTAGATTTGATTAACCCTTTATATCCTGACGACACTCATGCATTTGGTTCCACTTAACATTAAATAAAATAATATTTCCATAATCCAACAGATTTTCTTCATCTTTTTATTTAAATAGTTTTCGTATCTAAAACACACTAAAAGTTTAATCTCATGATAATTAAAACTATGTTTATATATATAATTAAAAATACGTACCGGTACCGGACCGGGGGAACACTGATCTCTATTATTGAAAACTAAGCATGAGTTCGTTGAAAAACTAATAATGGACAAACCTATCAAACTGGAACATGCCGGTACTCAAATATTGATATCCCACCTCAGAGAATCATATTGGATAGTTAAAAGCAGAAAGACAGTCTGAAATGTAATAAGAAAGAGTACCAAGTGCAAAAGATTTTCTGATAAAGCATTTGACTTTCACAGGATTGTGTCAAAGAAGCGGCTGTGTTTGAAATCATCGACCTGTGTGGGCTTTTGTTTTAAAAGGTGCGACAAAAAATCCTGGGTGGTACACATCGAGGTAATGTCTTCAATGTCCACTGACTGATTTATCTTGGCCTTTCGCTGATTTATTGCACGAAGAAGACATCTATTCACTGAATATTCTGATCTTTTAAAGAGTATCGTCAAGTCTTTGCTTCAAGTTAGCGAGTTTCGTGGATAATTTAATCTGCCCCTTGGTGGGGAGGATTCTTCGAGAGATTGAAAGGGGTGTTGAAAGGGATTCTGAGAAAGGTTCTGGACGATAGAAGTTAATTGTCTTTTCTTTATGTTTAGGTTATGTTAATTATTATTAAACGTGAATGCCCCAAACATGTCAGAATGTAAAAGTTTGATATTTATTAACGTAATCCTGTGGCAGTGGTGGAAGAAATAGGGTAAGTGAAAATTACCTTGTTCTTTATAGAACTGTTTTGGAAATTTCGTATTAACAATTGATATAGCAGAAACGCTGCTGCACAAGTGGTAACTTTCAAGAGTGAAGAAAAATTACTCTTGTGGCATGTTAATTCTTGCTAGTTGACCTTGGCATCTGTTGTGCTGAGAACCATTTATTCTGCTCTTCAAAACTCTTTGAATGAATTTCTTATCAACAAAAAATAAATAAATAAATAAAGAATGCTCGCTATAAACGCATTGTACAGTTATTAAAAGTTCCTGCGACTATTATTTACCTAAATAGGGTTACAGTTCTATCAACAATTCTGCAATGCTATTTATCATTAATTCTGACAAAAAATCTTCGATTGCTTGTATTTTACAGTGAGATGTGCAAACTTCTCAGAAAAGTCATTTTAAAGTTTATTAAAGATGAATGGTTAGTTGGATTTTATTGGATACTGCGCCAAGCACTAGGTTAAAATTTGGTTACACGGTTAAACTAAGGTGTTATTTTTTAAAGCAGAGAATAAAGTCCAATGACTTTGATAAATTTTAAAAGATTGTGATGTATAGGGTCACCAAGTAAAGATTGAAGATCAGTGTTAAAACTGCCAAAAAAAATTTTTTATAAAGTATTTGAATCGTCTGCAGTCAGTAAAAATATGCTTAATGGTGATAACAACTTGACAGAATGCACAAATAGGTGCATGATTAAAGATGAATATGTGATAGAAATATTAAAACCATAAACATTATTCAATACATACATTGATAACTTTGAAAATTCT